TATGGTAATATTATCTATATCTATCTTCTATATCTATACATAATATTAAAGAGGTAAAATTTTTCTCCACCCATTTTTTTTCGTTCGGTTCTCCTCTAACTAACTACGTGAATAAGAAAACTGTCTCCGTTAGCAATCCTAATCAAATAGATTTCTCTGGTTTCAATTCCTTGTGTTGGCAAACAACAATGCCCTGGCCGTACGCTGATCATGGATAGGTGATGGTGTTGGCGTCCGTTTTGTTTTTGCCCTCCACGTACATCACTTTCCTTTCTAAATACTTCTATTTTTTATTTTTCCATAAATATAAATATCATAATAAATGATAAATATAATAATAATTATAGATCTTTGAGCCCTTGACTCATTTCTTAATAAGTAGAGGTTTTCACAATCAAGTTTTTGTCATAATTTTGATTAGAAATAAAATCTATTTTATAATAACTTGGTTCAATCTCACTAATTAAATTAAATTAAACGGAAGCTGAAATCTTGAGCAATTTGCTGTGTGTAGTCCATTACCTATATCTATCGATACTTAATATTAAAGAGTCAAATTTCTGCCCAAATTTTCGTCTTGCCTCTACATTCATCTCTAACCATCCGCAATCCGAAATCAACTAGATTTCCTCCGGTCCCCCAAATCATACCAAGGATTTTCCAAATCGGTAAGCAAGGTGCAAGGGACCAAACCGAGACTAAATCAAAACCACCACATCGATCTAAATCCAAACCAAAGTCATACTAACTCTAGAAAGACAACAACTTATAAATCAAATCAATAAATTTGTTATTTCTTCAGCCGACGACCACAACAATCACCAAAAATCAACAAAAATCAATTCCTTCTCCCTCCATACACGAATCGACCAAATTGACCGAAGAGGAAATTAGAGAAAGAATTGAATCGAGAAAATCAAAGAAAGAATTGAGAAGGACATTAGATGGGGTCGCGCCTCCGGGCCCTATTTGTTTCGCTTAAATTTTGGCTTATGCTTATGCTTATGTTGAAATGTGTGAGAGGAAAACAATGTTCGTTCGCTGCGGGGACTGTAGAAGCAGTGCTGCAGAATAGGGCGACGGCCAGGGTGCCCGCGCCGTCGACTCCCCCCGCGGACATGGCTAGGTGCGCCCACGCTGTTGGCGAGGTCTGAGGTGACGCGCCGTTGCCGGGATGTCCTCAAGAGCGCATGTCATTTTTCATAAAAGTTTGATTGTTTTCTTCCATTGCAACGTACGGGCATGTTTTGCTAGTATATTATATAAATACAAAACCAGCGAGCCTTGCAGGTTTTTTGTTTTCTATCGTTGGCGGAATGAACAGCAATCACCGTGATCCTTTTTCATGCCAGCCCATGAGCCCGACCCGTTCGTGATCCAACAACGCGCGGCGAGGAGGCTTTTGGACGATCTGCTTTCTTCAGCCTGGGCTTCAGAAATTGGCCCATACGACCCGATATTGGCGGCCTAGATCGAGAAAGAGCAGACGCTAAACATATTTTTCATTATGAATTGAAGAAGATAAATAAAGTTTATAATACACGATTCTAGTAAGTCTACTAAAACAAACTCATCAATCAACAAAATTCAGTAGCAGCTAATTACATGAAACAATTCGGGACTAGACAAAATTTGAGCACTAAAAGAAGCAACGAAAAAACTAGCTGGTAGTGGTGGAAACGTTCCTGACCGAACTAAATTAACTGAAGACGTTGGTTAACTAAAATTTTTTATGTTACAGGTTATCCTAGCGCCGAGACGGCCGGCGCGAGCGTGCGTCCAGACGCACCTCGGGGCATTCGATTGTCGTAAAAGGAACCATCCGATCCCGATCAATCCGCGTAACGATTCAATTCAGAAGCACTACGAGCGAACCACGCCAGTCGCAGTGGCCCGTCCCACGCCACTCGCGCGCGGCTTGTCTCCATCCGCGCCGCCATCCACGCCGCGCCCCTTGTCCCCCATCGCGCCCCTGTCCCAAGAGCACGAAACACTTTCAAGTGCAACATCGCAAAATTATATATGTAAATGTAGTGCAACATCAGAATATAAATATTGCAACATCGCAAAACTATGTAGTGCAATATCGAAAAATATGTAATGCAACATTGAAAATTATGTACTGCAACATCAAAAAAATATACTGCAACATCTCAAACAGTATTACTGCAACATCGCAGAATCAACCATGAAACATGGAAATCGAAACATCTTAAATCATCTTTTAGTGCTGCAACATTTGAAAAAAGGTAATTTCAACAATTAAAACCATATGTTGCAACATTAAAGGAAAAAATATAAAATCCCAACATTAGAACTTCCTTTCTACAACACATTAATCACCCTATTGCAACATTCGACAATCATTTGTTACACCATCCCAAAAATCCCCTTGCAACATGGAGAAAACAACAAAAAACGTACAAACAACAAGGGGATGGGTTCGAGGTGCAGGCTGCTCCAGCCCCTGGCCCATCACCTTCGAGCTCGCCAGAGGGAGGAGGGAATAGGACCCCAGGGTTCGCCGGAACCCTAGACACCGCCGCGCCCCTCATATCTAGAGGAGGAGGCGGAGGACGAGGAGGAGGAGGAGGACGACGACGACGACGAGAAGGAGGATGGCTCAGATCCAGATGAGGATCGACCTACCTGGTCGGAGTCACCGTCGTCGTCCTCGTCTTCGGTGGAGGGAGTGGGAGCCAAGTTGCTGGGGCGCGGGGTAACAATGGAGGTCGCGGAGGGAGAGAGGGAGGAAGGGAGGGAGGGAGCGTCGGTGGGCGGGTGGCGCGGTAGCGAGTAGGCGCGTGGCGCGCGGTGTCCGTCCCGGCAAGCAGGCGGGGCGGCAGTAGAATGAGAGGGGCGCGAGCGTTGTGGGAGTGAGCGGCACGGGTGAGGCAGGTTCGGCGCGGGTCGGGTGCCTCCGTCCCCATCCGAACGGCCGCTGCATATCATTATTGTTTACGATAATGCTCCACTGCGGGCATCCGTACCGCATCTAGACACTGGACGCTACGTGGCCTCATGGTATCCACATATTTTACCCACCACACAAATATCTTTTCCGTTTTCATCTCGTCTCTCTCCTCCATCTCTCCATTCAAAGCAAAAGGAAGGATGTCCAGGATAGAACATGCCTGACGCATGGCCGCTATGATCCATTCACGTCCCCACTCACGCAAGTGTGGAGACCAAGCCGGCGCCCTCTCTCCCACTCCTATTTGCTTGCCCTCCTCCTCTCCCTCTCGCTCTGCTCAAGAGTGCAGGCATCGAGCCCCATGGCCATCCGCCTAGCTTCCATGACCGCCACTAGCACTCGTGCCTCCGAGCGTCCTCCTCCGTGCAACCTCCATCCAAACCAACCACCTCCCACGCGTAGCTCGCATGTCTCTTCGCCGGCCTCAACCGCCTCGCTGAGCTCCACATGCGTTATCGTCGACATCTACGCGTCGTCGCTGAGCTCTGCGCGCGCTGTCGCCAGCGAGCTCTGCGCTGCTGAGATCCGTGCCGCCGATGAGCTCTGCACTGGCGACCTCGGCATCGAGCTTTGTGCCGGCGTCAAGCTCCGCGTCGATGGGCCTCAATTTACCCTAGCAGCAAGAAGATGTTGCGCTAAAAAGCTCATGTTGCAAGCATATGTTTTAGGTGTTTCATATGCATGTTGCAAGTATTTCATGTGGATGTTGCAAAAGTAGACCGGGATGTTGATATGTTGCAATGGTTATACACGTATGTTGCGAGCGTCTTTTCCAAATATTTTAGCTGTTTCAAACGTATGTTGCATGTGTGTTTATCTGGGTGTTGCAATTGTTTCATCCGGATGTTACATATGTTTCACACATATGTTACAAGTGTTTCATCTAGATGTTGCATATGTTTTGCAATGGCTACACACGTGTTTTTCCTCGTGTTTCAGACGTATGTTGCAAGTGTTTCAACTTTTTCAGACGTATGTTGCAAATATTTTCTCTAAATGTTGCAAAAGTAGATCTGGTGTTGCACATGTTGCAATGGGACCCATTTGCAGCAGCCGCATGCTGCAGCTGCTGGGCTCCCTTGCATGCGCATGGGTGTGGAGGGGCACGAGCGGCAGGTGTGGGAAACCGTGCGGGCGTAGATCAAGACGGAGCGGCGCGGGACGAGGAGTGGGCGCGGGATACGAAGCGACGTGGGCCCCATGTGAAGCAGGCACAAGCGGACCCAGCAGCATGCCTACGTGAAGCAGGCGTGGACGTCCAGACGCTGGCCCCTGTCCGGATGTTAGCCTTTCCGAAACTTTTATGATCTACACGGTGAAAACTTTGGGCATGCTCGGAACAGCCGGCTGTGGCAGTGGTTTAGCATTATCCAATGATCGGCTATTTATTCAGTTATTAGGTGGCATTAATTGAAATAACTAATTTTCATTGTGACTATTATATTAAACACTAAAGGTTGAATATCATTCTTTGTCGCTTTTGAAATCGGTTTTGTCTGTTTTAAGCTACCCCTATGTTCCAAATTATAAAACATTTTGCCTTTTCTAGGTATATATGGTTTTTACTATGTATATCTAGACATAATATATCTAAGTGCAAAAACAAAAAGCTATGTATCTAAAAAAAACTAAAAACATCTTATAATTTAGAATGGACCAGTTAATGTTTCATCAAAACTGAAAATTTCCACAACCAATTTCACAAAATTAACTGAATACCGAGGCCTACTTGCTGGGGGAAAATCAAATATGCATCAGCTGCAGCTGAAGATTCACTTCCAACTGAAAATTTACAGGATATGGTGATGGCTCCAGAGGAAAATACGAGGAGCCATTCAGTCAGACATAGGTTGTATGCAGTCACGAAGTACAAAAAACGGGAGAAAATTTACATCACAACAGATTTACTGGCATAAGAACTTGTGGTCTCATTGGCTATAGACCCTTGCCGTAGGCCCATCCTCAACTTGAGAACCTAACGTGCCATACTACGAGCAATTCATTGCTCCAGTGAACTTGAGAAAAATCAGGTTTTCAGTTGAGGGATTTTCTTCGTCACATCATCGACTGTTTCATCCACGCTCTCCAAAACAGATTCCCCCTGGAAAAGTACAGATTAAATTAAAATATCAGTTCACTACATCAAAGAAGGAATCAAGTATACTGGAAATCTTAGCCCAAAAGAAAATATGGATAAGCATGTATTCTAATGATGAAGAAATTATGAACTGATGTGGTTGCTGTACTTACATCTTTGACATGCTTTGGTTTTTCACCTATACACTTGGAAGCACTGATGCTTTCGCTCTTCAGCAAACTTCTCGCACTCAAGACCGGTTGGCTGATGCCATCCGTCACTGAGGCATGCACTAGCTTATCACCTGCATTGCCATCTCCATGTTTATTGCCAATTACTCTTTCCCTGAGACAAGATACAAAGATTATTAGTTCAAGTACTTACTCCTGTTTAGGTTTCTCCTAAGTCAAATCTTTAAGCTTTGACCATCAATATTTGAAATTTTATATAGACTAACAATATAAGTTTTAACTATTTTATGAAAAAATTCATAATGCAAATATATTTTAACAACTATGATAACAGGAACCTTAATGGAATTGTGCTTAAGGTCTCTCTTTTGTTTATTCAATCAAAACTACTGTATCTATGCAAGTTCTACATGAATAACCAATTGAACCTCCCTCTGACTGCGTAAAAATTCTCAGAAAAGAATATAAATAAACAACTAAGGAGGGCCAAAAGATGATAGAAAAATAGGATCCACACGCTATAGACACAAAAATATTGCATGGTTAAGGAAAATAAAGTGTCAGTTTTGATGAGAACCTTGGCAAAGAAACATTCTGTCGCAGCTGTGGACTTGGTTTTTCACCTTTGGCAGTACCTTCTTCCAAATGAGCAAATTGGCGCCTAAAGCGATCCACCCCACTGTCATGCACAGACATCAGGGTTATACTCCCAATAAATCCTGAACCAATCATATAACTAGGCAACTACTATACTCAGCGAAGAGTTTAGCGCATGTGTGTTTGCTAAACAAAAAGTGGACCCCACCTTGGATACATGAAGGTCATCTGGCTGTGGTCTCCTCCATGTAGGTATTCTTCTAGCATTTGAGGATGGTACTCCAAAATCTAAAGAGAGGTAACAAGAGTTAGGAAAGTAATGAAAGAAGCAGCTCTACGATGATGTCAAGAATATAATTGAGTAATAGTACCTCTCGGTAAATTAATTCTCGGACATCATCTTTGGCCAGTTTCCGCTTCTCAAACTCAAATTCAAGTTTTGAGATAGGTTGTGCTATGGGTTCACGTTCATTATTTGCTAATCCATTAAAGTATGGATCTGTCAGGGCCTGAAATAAAATTTACATGGATTGGTATTTGGCGGAACAACTTATCCAACATTTTAAAGGTGAAATATAGATAAAGGGGGTAATCTCTGCCTTCTGCACCAACCAGGGATGCTTAAAAGATGAAATTTATCTTTATGGTGAACAAAAATTGGACTCAACTAGACCTACCTCAGCAGCACTTGGCCGTTCCTTAGGATCAAAAGCAAGAAGACGTTCAAGCAAACGGAGAGCCATAGGATCTATCCCTGGAAACTTTTTAGTAAAGGGAACCCGGGGCTTTTTCCTCATATTGCTCATGTATCGTCGAGCTTTCTCATTCCTTATCTGCAATGCTTCAATAGTTTAGTGTAGGACACATGATTTTGTGTCATCCATCAGTTGGAATTTTGTTTCCAACATAATCTAGAGGAACAGCCAAAGATTGTTGCTATTGAATATTGATGTCACAACAACAACAAAGCCCTGTGAGGCATAGTTGAATATTGATGTCAATTGGTACAAAACTTTGTACTTTCTGGTAACTAAACATTGAAGCACTTGTTTAAAGAGGCATAGTGAAATAGTCCTCAAAAGAAAGGACAATAAAAATAAATGAACAATTGGTAAGTTAGTAACTGTGCACTATCAATGAAAGATTGAGCATTTTATACAAGTTGTACCTAAAAATCTGAAACAGAGTAATGCCTGGAATACAATTAAGCTTAACAAAACTATGGAAGAAATCAGATGCAAGGTCTCACTAGTAAAGAGTGAGCATACCTTGGAGATAGACTCTGCTGAAGGTGTACCGAGTAGATCAGTCATAAGATCCAACTGATGCACAACATTCTTCCCTGGAAAGAGTGGCTTCCCTGTGAGCAATTCAGCAAATATACACCCTACGCTCCAAATATCAATGGCAGGAGTGTACTGCAAAAGTCAATGCCAGATTCAGAACCTTGTGATTCTATAAAATTTGTAAAACAAGCAGAGACATCAATTCCACACCATGTACACATTGTTCAAGTAATAATCAGCCAATTCTGCAGCATTAAATCTGCATGTAAAACACGCCTCTATGTTCAATATTCATTTTAATGAAAGGGGCATTGAGAAGTGGAATGGAGGTTTTTTTTTTCTTTGGAAATTGTTGGGAAGAAAACCATGCATATTACAATTAAATGCTGTCAAAAGAAAGGACGCCACAATATATTGAATAAAATATCTGAACCAGATTTCTTGCAAAAGTAGTAGAAACTCTAAAAATAAAAGGATAAATGCTGTTGCATACAGGGAAGTTAGCCGATATAAATACAGTTGGTTAAAGTCAGGAACTCAAAATTATGCTTAAGGGTAACCTCAACAACAGAAGATAATCTGGAACCAGTATCGCTATATTGGATCAAACTTATCAAACAAATGTAACAATTTCAGAGGAAAAATACATTGATATATTGATCTCAAAATGAAGCTAAGGTGAAACACCACCTTTGAAAAAAACGAGCCACATAATTCCGGAGCTCGATACCATCTAGTGGCCACGTAATCCTACAGCAAAAGATGCTACATCATAAGAAAAACAAGTTTTGACTGTTCAACAAATATAATTTTGCTCAACAATATCAAAATGGCTACCGTCCAGAATATGGCTGATGGGGTGTCATTGAATGAAACGCGGGCAAGGCCAAAATCACAAATCTTCAGCTTGCAGTCAGCATTGGCTAGAATATTCTTGGGCTTAAGATCCCGATGGAAGACACTTGCTGCAAAACCAAGACTTATAGAACAAGCATAGAAACCAAATCTCACAAGAACCAACAAACTATTAACAAGTCCCCTCAATGTGGAGTCTAACAACCTGCATGAATGTACTTCATCCCACGGAGCAGCTGGTACAAGAAGAACTGGTGATGCTCTGCTGTGAGATCATCATTTGCTTTTATTACTTGATGGAGATCCGACTCCATCAACTCAAAGATCACATAGATATCCCTAAATTCCCTCCTCGAAGGAGGAAGCATAATGTGCTTGATCTCAACTAAGTCTGGGTGACGCAGCAACCGGAGCAACTTGATCTCCCTAAGGATGCGAGTTGCATCGGAGACGTGATCAAAGACATCAATGATCTTCTTGATCGCCACACGCTCACCAGTCTGGGTGTCGACAGCAGCAGCCACAACACCGTAGCTCCCTTTGCCAATGACTTCACTGACCTGATACCGACTTGCCTCACCATACTCGGTGAAGAATTCAGACTCCTGAAAAGGAGCAAGAGAGTTCAACTTAGTATGCCTGTTGCAAATACTGAATAGTGTGAACTGTCAACATCGTAATAGACAACACAACATCTTCAAAAGAAATACACATAACACAACACAACATGTGCAGATCAAGGGTACTTATTAGAGGGTAACAGCAACTTGGTTTACTCTAATCTAAAGTCTAAACACTGAAGGTGATTGTTCCCAAATCAACAATATTAAGCTTGAAAACAACAGTACCTCATCAAAAGTCAACAAGGAACGCTGCAAAAACAAAAACCAAGACCCTTCAACTGCAATTTCTCAAACTGCTGTTCAAGTTAATTCGGTTTTAAATGACAGATACAAGAAAAAGGCAATGCAGCAGCAATTTCTCAGACTACTGTTCAAGTTAATTCGGTTTTAAATGACAGGTACAAGAAAAGGGCAATGGAGCAGTGGAAGCGTAGGACCCCTAAATCCTCCAAAAGGCAGTACTGCAGGTTGTACGATTGTTTCCATAAAGCACAAGCCGTTTCCTTAAACTGCCACGCGTTCTGCATTCAAAAGACACGCGTTTTGCATTCAAAAGGACTCGAACAGACAGCTATCGCTGATGTAGTACGGCGATTTGTAAATCAGAAGAGCACACGAATAATGACCCCCGTTATCGAAGCATCATTCGGATGACCCACCATCTCTGAACCCAACAACGTACGCACATCCAAAGAACTCGCAAGAACAGGATCATTCGATGAAATTCCGTTCAGCCTGCCCAGCACCACTACAAGAAACAGGGCTAACCGCGACCATTAGGAATCTCGTGACGCAAGTGAACAGCCGCCGTCACCGACAGCGGACGGATCCAGACATGACGTCAGAAGCGGATGGGGAACATGAAAGAAGCAAAGGAAGTCGCAAGGATCCAAGAGCGCGATCACGGGGACGCTGTTGAGTTGACCCACCTTTTTGCTCGGATCCATGAGTAGCGGCTCGGTGCGCACCGGTGCGCGCGGTCCTGCACCCGGTTCTGGATCCCCCAAGACAATACACCCCTCGGACTCGGCGCCCTCGGCGGCGGTCTCTTCTCCGGTCACCCGCTCCTCTTCTTCAACCTCCCTCTCCTCCTCGGCGCGGTGCTGGTGCGGGAGCGAGCGGGCGCGGAGGTCTTCGCTGGTGGCGGTGCTGTCGTTGTTGTTAGTGGTGGTGGAGGTCAGGTGGAAGGAGGAGGAGGAGGAAGAGGAGGAGACGCGGCGGGAGCGGTGACGGAGCCAGCGGAGGAGGGACCGGGCGCGGCCGCCCATAAACCGCGCGCCCTGGGCATTGGGCGCGCGCCGCGGAAGGGCGTGCGTGCTCCTGGGGACGCCCGGTTGCCGCGGGGAGCGCGTCGCGGTGGGAAGCGTGAGGAGGCGGAGCAGGGCAGGACAGGGCAGCGAGGCCGAGGCCGTGGCGCGCGGGATGGTGTCGAGGCGAGGGCGGTCGAGGGGCCGTGTGGGGAAGTGGCGGTTCGTGCCGGTTGGGGGTGGGGATGGACGTGGGGCCCGACGCTGCCAACCAACTGCCCAGGTCCGGTCCTAGTGGGACGGGGGTGGGAAGCACGAGCACGAGCGTACATAAACGTCGGCGCAGCAGCCCGATGGGCGATTAGCAAGCGAACTGTTTTTTTTTTCTTTCTGGAATTTAGAATTTGAATCTATAAAATGTCTATTCTGGATTTTAGATAGTGAATGTAGAATTTGAATTCTGGATAAAAAAATGAGCGTGGAAATCTCATTCTTATAGTAATTATTATTGTCTTTGCATAGTGAAATATCTAAATAGTAGGTTTGGAGTAGATACTGGGTTATAGGATCTCATTCTAGAATTAAAGTGTTTGGATTTTATTCTCTTTTTTCTACCTCATTCTCGTTTTTCTTAGGAGATCTAAAAAGGTCCTTTAGTATAGCATTTTGTGATGATTGGGCACCATGAGAAAGGAAATGGTAGCTAGAGAAGAAAGATGATGGGGTACAATAATAATGAGGAAGATTCATTGGATGAATGATTGATGAATATCTAAGGATGTAAATTCCATGCCTGGATAGTAGGGGGCAACACCTGAATATACAAACAGACGAACCCCTTTTCCTGTTTGAAGTATTTTCTTTAAAATTTATATATACTAACCACTATTATTAACAAAATATGGTTTCTAAGCTTTGCATGTGTTTCTTAAGAAATCTGATTTCTCTTTTTTAGATAATGGAACGGGTTTCAACCTCTACATCGTTTGATGACATATACAACTATTCAATACAGCCACGAGCTCTTAGGCTCATATATATTGGAATATATCAGAGAGACAAGATAAAAAACCCAAAGTCTAGATAACTGAATAGAAAGAAAACTAAACTTCAATTCTATTCGAGAACGTAACTTCCATCCAAACCTAGCGAAGATCTCCATGATCACCATCTCCAAAAGTCTACAACCATTTTCCAAAAGTCTCCATGATCAAGACATTGAAGATCAACATGCTCAACGACACCATAAACTCACTGCAGGAGGAGCGAAAGAAGCTGCAAGATGACGTTGCACGTGGAGAAGTTGCCAAGGAAAAACTCGAAGTGGCTAGGAGCAAGATCAAGGAGCTGTAGCTGCAGATACAGCTAGAAGCAGGCCAGACAAAAGGTCAATTGATGCTGCTGCAATAGCAGGTCATCGGATTGAAGGCCAAGGAGGAAGAGGAGGCAAAAAAGGAAGCCAAGGTTGAGGGAAGTGAAGAAGCTCAAGGAGTTGGAAATGGAGGTACTTGAGCTAAGGAGGAAGAACAAGGAGTTGTACGAGAAGAGAGATCTCATTGTGAAGTTGGATGCAGTTGAAGGGAAAATAATTGAGGTATCTTAGTACTAAGTCTCTACAAGTTGTCTTTCTCATAAACGGAAGACAAATCTCATGAAGATGACAGCAAAATTGTAACTTCCTCTTATACATGGTTATCATTATGCAGGATATTACACAGCCTAGTATTAACATATTTTCAAAACAGTACAATGGAAATGCAGTTACCTATAGTACTTACTAAAGCATGATTTAAGA